CACATTAGAGGTGATTAGAGTTAACGGGGATTACCGTGGCCGTGTTGTAATGGCTCGGAGACCGCGGGACAGCGCGCCCGGGCCACTTCACTGCTGCACCTCCGCTCTCTCTGTTCTTCAGGCTGATGTCTGAAGGAGAAACGGAGCGAGATGAGTGGAATTAAAACAGACTAATGTAGCTGCTGAAGCCACCCTGAGGCACTGAGGAGGAGAGAGAGCCCAGTCGTCCTGCTTCTGGGTATACCGCTCCCAAACAGACCTGATCGCGCTTAATCCGCACAAATACGCCTTTATTTTACAGTCCGCTGTTTCCACAGCTCAGCAGCCGCTCTCACTGGGAAGATAAGCGCGCTGCAAAGACTTCCGATAGCAAACACAACCGACACACTTCCACTGCAGAATCATCAGCTTCGCCCAGATCTACAAGATAAAACCCGCCCGCGGAGTGAGGAGCCAGGTCTGCGCCATTCTGTCCCTCATTTGGAGAAACTTTTCTCTTAACAAATACATATATAAATACATATATTTAAAAAATAAAACGCTTTTCTAGAAATTCGTTGGAGGTGAAGTAATTTAAATCCATGAATTAATCAGCGCAGTAATTGGGCTGGGTTTGGAGAATATATAAATCACATTTTAAAAAAAACAAATGGCGTAAATTTGAAAAAAAAAAAACCGTATTATTGCAATAATAATGTGAATAAATAAAAGTATAATAATAATAATAATAATAATAATAATAATAATAAGCTGTACCAATATTAAAACATCTGATGGTAATTGCGAGCGCACTATATTAATTCTAAAAAAGTCTGCACACAATTTAGCGTTTTAGTTCTTAAAATAAAATTCTAGTTTTATAGAAAACGCTCAGATCAAAGTGAGCGTGCCGAGGGCAGCAGGAAGCTTAAAGTGAACAGCAGAAATGTGAGATGTTAATATTTTTTAGGGCAGTTAAAGCGCAGTGGATGGAGTGTCAGATCTCGAGCGCTGATGCTACAGATTTTATTAAATGCGCGAAATTACAAACGAACCGCGCACGAGTTGTTTTTTCTCCGCTCATAAGAACTTTAGGATTTTTATTCATGACCATAAATCTGGCCTGTATTTTATTATTGTTGCAGTATTGAGAAGCGCATTCAATCATTTAAAACCCTGTTTTATGTTATATATTTATTACTACTATTATCATTATTATTATTATTATTATTATTATTATTTTAACTTGTTTGTGTGAGTGGGCTGTCTCTGCATCCCGTGTGATTAAACTGTTATTTGAAGCGTCTGTAATTTGAAATCCGGGCTGCTTTCCGCCAGATGGCGCTAAAGGGCCGCATATTTTACCCAGCAGACCCGCAAAAAGACTCACAAAGATCTTTAACATTTCCCTGGAATGGCGAGGATACACTCAGTACCCCCAGCCTACCACACACACAGACACACACACGCACACACACACAAACTTACTTTACTGATCCATACTCTACTCGCCATGCAGACTGCAGAATTTACAGTTAGCCGAGAAACTTTGTCCAGTGTTTGAGTAGCAGGAGCTCAGAGTCATTTCTCTGCAGGTCACAGAGAGTTCAGCTTAATGAGCTAATTTAGATTACTGCACAATGCAAGCCTAAACAAAAAAAAAGATATAATAGTCCTGAACAAGCTGATACAAACTGCTAGAGACGCAAAGTGAGAGCTGAAATATCTGTTACAGAAACTGACCATCGTTCTCTAACCTTTAATAATTACACGGTCTAAAAATCAAAGGTCTAAGTAAAATAATTCCCCAAACAAATACATCTTCACACTGCCCAGGCTGATTAAAAAAAAAAAAAAAAAAACAGGCAAGTGTTCAGGAGGCTAATGTAATTTCAACATCTAAAATAATCTGTATTCCATCAGTTTAAGTCCCGTTTCTCTTACTATTCCGTTTTTTTTAACGCAGTGTAAATTTGATAGCCTAATTCTACACTGAGCAGTTTCAAATCTGATGTTATTGAAGTGAATTAGACTTACTGGTCAGCTTCAGCTATTGAACATCTGAGCTCTTGAGCCAGAGCTGTGAGCATTATTCTAGGCTATAGTTTGTTTGCCACAATAGGAGGTATAATGCAGGATATGAGAGTCTCCGTAGGCTCGGGATTGTCTCCCTGTTTTACTTGAAATGGATCCTCTGCCCCCTAATGAATCCAAACGCAGCTGGGCATGTCCCACACCGACACCGAGAGCTTTAACCCTAAACTGACCTCAATCTGACACCACCAGATGAAATTTTACCGCCCCTTAATGTCATCTTAGTCGTCGCTGGATGGCTTCCCTTCATACTGTGCCTGTTTACTTTACTCTTCACTGTAAACTGGCCCCAAAAAACAAACTCAACGAGTCGTTTAGATCAGCTAAAAAAGTTAGGACTTGTTTCAAAACTTTAAAGCTGCGAGTAGAAGAGTATTTGGCAACGCTGGCAATTAAGGGAAGGAAAGCCTATTATTTAGGGAAGCCTAAATGGGAAACCCGTCTTAATGATACCCTACTGAATCATATCTTCTCCTTATGTTTGTATGTCTTGTAATTTTTCACGATTGTAGAATATTTACATCTTGATCAGACCTGAGTGCAAACAAATGACCTGATCCACATTATATAATAGCTGCGATTTTATCTGCACAGCACAGCTTCTCTCTAATATTCCCTCAGAAATATTAAGGAAGCATTTCAGTTCCAAGTTATTGTCCAGTGAGATTATTTTAAACTCTGTTTATTCAGAGTATAGATGCATTCTACAAAGATTTTCTAAAGTAACTGTTACAATTTGTACTTCATTAAAGTGACCATCTCGAGAAATTTCAAAAGCTGTGCCTTCCTGAGTTCACCTGCCTTCAATACTCTCACACTCTCATCTCCCTGCTTTTACTGCAGCATTACTAAAGACAGAGGATATTCATGCACTTACCAGAGTCCTCCTGGAAACGTCACGCGCTTATCTGAGTGTGTGCGCGCGACCGTGTGTGTGTGACTGAGTGTGTGTGTGCGGGTTAATTCATAAGAAGAAATTTGGAGTCGCCGGTTTTAACGCGAAACTGTCCCGTCGCCAGTGCTGGTGGAGCGGTGGAGAGAGAGAGGGAGAGAGGGAGAGGGAGAGAGAGAGAGAGAGAGAGAGAGAGAGAGGGAGAGGGAGAGAGACGGAGAGACGGACTCTCCTGTCTCGCGCTCTTGCTGCCCGGTGTGATGTCCGCACCGCCGCACTCTTCTCCTCGCGCTTCCCTCCCCTTCATGCCACAACCTGTGAAATCTCACTTCGTTGGTAACTCCAGTGCAAAAACGCAAAAGCACCTACGCGAACTTAACGCGGCTTTAGGCCGGTGTTTACTGACCGCGCGACCGAGCTCATCCCACTCCTACATGAGAAAATCTCCTTAGCCGGTGCGCTGCTAATTCATTAAAAAAAAAGGTCACGGAGCTCGAAACGCAGCCGAGTGATGTGAAAAGCTATCGATACGGCGATGATGTCACATGCGCAGCAGTTTGTGTTGGCACTGATGGTGGCTAAATATTAAAGGGGATGGATGACCTCTTTGGGTTTTGAGCTCCAAAAGAGCCTGGTATGACGGGGGGAAAGGGCCAGCAGCGCTGGAATCGATGGCCCGGGCATTGCTCCTCCTCTAAACTTCAAGCTTTCCCCATGATTGATGATCGTGGGCCGCTTTGATAATTGACTACTCCGAGGTGAGGCGCGGATTTCTTAGCTAGAGACGTGATTGGACGAAAGACACGTTTAAACAGTTTCTCTAAAAACAGTGTTTTTTTCTTGTGTGGGAAAGTTCATTTTACTCCAGAAAGGGGTGTTCAGTAGGTCCTAATAAGCACAACAACTACATCTGAGGAAGAACTGGAAATTAGGGGTTTCCACAAACTCTCAGTTTGGTCAAACCACACTTGAAGGCAAGAAAAGAAAAGATAGACTCAACTTTTGTCTGAAGGTGTGAAGGTTTGCTGTATCTGTTGTGTATATGTTGTCGTATAAATCGGAAGAAAAACATTACATAACTTAAGGTTTGTAACGCAATGCATGATCAGCATATTGAGATATATAATACTCTAAGATAGCTTAATTTCTTCAAAATATGTGACCCAGGCCAGCACAGATATAGGACCGACATGACCCTCAGTCATTTCATACAGATATTTTGTAGCCCAAAAAAGTGTGGACGCCCCATAAAACGCAATGCAGACTGAAACGTTTGAGAGTAATTTCTTTTTCTTTTCTTTTCCAGATAGCTCCAGCCTCTTCTGTGTGCAGTATGAAGGGGAGCTCTCCCCCGTAAAGTCGTCCTCCCTCTCTTCTCTCGCCCATTTGTTTCTTTTTTTTTTCCTACCCGTATTCTGCTAAACCCCGCCCCCCAGCGCTAGCATTGGCTAGTAGTTCATACTCTTCCTTTGGCGGACTGCTTACGAGTATGAACTATTAGCCAATCCAAGCGCAAGAGGGCGGGCTACCGTCAGCCAATCCCAGCGCGGGAGGGCGTGGCTTAGCGAGAGAGTACCACCCACACGGGCCCCAGCGCACTTAGGGCACCGGTGCACAATCCCTCCTCACTGTGGGCGGGGTTTGCCGGAATACGAGTGTGAAAAACAAACTCCCCACCAGAACCCAGTGGTGGGCGTGGCCAAGCACAGCGCCACTTCCGGGTTCCGTCATTCCATTCTCCCGCCGATCAGCGCGGCGAAGTGACTCCGTACTATAAGCAAAGCTAGCAGCCAACCTGCCAACACTCGCTGACACTCACTCATCTCAGACCGCGAGATAGACGAAATATACCGCGGGGGGGGTGGGTGAAAAAAAACCCCGAAGAGATCCGAATCGCCACTCTTTTAATTTCTTCTCCTCTTTTTCTTTTCTGGGTTTTTCCTTCTGTCCTTACAGTGATCATAAAACAAGAAAGCGGACCGGAGGCGTAAAGAAGACGCGGAGTTTTGTGCGCGGATGAAAACGGACTAGATTCATCGTCTCTTGAACATCATCAGCCACCATCATTCATTCATTACCTTGACAACCTCTGGCTTTGATTGACAGCTGGAGTGGCAAAAAGCCATGAGACACGACAGTTTAGTTACATGCACGTTGTTGATGGGTCGATTGTAACCTTCAGTTTTTTGGTGCTTCACTTTTTTTTTTCTTTTTTTGGGGGGGCGAGGAGGAAAAAAAACAAGATTTTTTTTTTGCAAAAGTCTTCCCGATGCCCGTGCTCGGCGTGAACTGTATTGGAGAATAGGAGAATTCACGAAGGGGAATCTTACCACTAAATCACTTTCTTGCCGGACTGGGATATTAAATATACGACACGTCCAGGAGTTTATTGGAGCGCAGCCTGATGGCGCAGAGGGTAGGTCTGCAATCTCCAACACTTACCTATACAAATGCACTATAGGAGGGCCTCGGCGCTGGCGGCTTCTTCCCAAACCGCTGCTGTCTAACGCCGTTTATTTCACGTTTTTTTTTTCGCTCGCCGCATCTCTGCTTCTGAGACGGTGTGACAGTCTGTGCTTCTCCCGGCGGGCTCAGCAGCAGCACGGCTTAACTGACATAGCAACAAAAAGTGGGGAAAAAGAGAAAACACTGAACTTTGCAATGTTTTTGGTAATTACAAATAATTTGTACTAGAACTTTATGCTCGAGTGGGGAAAGTTGGTCTTCTCCCAACCACCGCGCATTGAGAATGGGATTTCTTCTCGTCCTTTAAAGCACTCTTTCCAAACACATTTTTTTGTATTTTTTACAGAATAGCTTGTTTCTGTGAAACGTTTTCCGTAACCATCGCGTGCTCGTTTACTGTCCGTCTGACTTTCTTGTGTTTTATTCCAGTACGATGAACTGGCCCATTACGGCGGGATGGACGGGGTGGGAGTTCCGGCGTCCATGTACGGGGACCCTCATGCCCCACGGCCGCTGCCCCAAGTGCACCATCTGAACCACGGGCCGCCGCTGCACGCGAGCCAGCACTACGGCGCCCACGCGCCCCATCCCAATGTAATGCCCACTAGCATGGGCTCAGCGGTCAACGACGTCTTAAAGAGGGATAAAGATCAAATTTACGGGTGAGTGCGAATATTACTGTTCTCGTTATCACACCCACGCTGTTCTTTAGCTGTTGCCTTTTTCTCTCAGTCGGCTCGAGTGCAGTACAGGGCAGTTTAGGAAATATATTATAACAGCAATTTTATGCAAAGAACAAATCAGTAAAGCTGATGAGTTCAACTGACTTTTTAGTTTATTTTTAGGAATTGCAACACTACAGTATTCAGTTTAGGAGAATATTGATTGTCAATTAAATTTGCTGTCCGTCCGTTTAGGCTGTGAACTTTTTTAGTGCAAACTTTAAACCAGATCCCAAGCAGTGAAAATTAAAAACACAATGACAGCAACAATAATAACAATTATAATTAAAATATTTACGAATGCCACCGTTGTAATTTGACGTCTTGTCTCTCTGTACGCCAGAGCTTTCTGTGGATAGAAAATCACAACAGACTAGAACCAAAGTTGTAAAGCTCGGAGCGGCTAAAGCTCACGCGGCAAAGCTAACATGCAAATGACCGTGTTTGCTAAAAACTGCTGAACTAGAACAGATAAGAACCCGTTTTTGTCATTTATCCCAGTCTACTCGCAATCCCAGAGCCTCACCAGCGTGTTCAGCAGCAACAGTCGCTCCGAAAAGGCCAAACTAGAGTTTCACTCCAGCTCGACTGGTTAAAGCTCCAGTGTAAACAACCAGCCGAGCTCGGACTGCTGCACACATTTTACGTGCGCGTGCTTGTTTAAAAGGCTCAGAAACTTCACTTTATCACAAAGGACAGCTATGCTGAAGGTTTTGCGTTTTGAGTTTTGCTTTAAGAGCCTTTCCCCTCTTTCAGTCACCCTCTGTTCCCTCTGCTCGCGCTGGTCTTTGAGAAGTGCGAGCTGGCCACGTGCACTCCCCGCGAGCCCGGGGTGGCGGGCGGCGACGTCTGCTCCTCCGACTCCTTCAACGAGGACATCGCAGTGTTTGCCAAACAGGTCACTCCTGCTTCCTCGGACTTCTCGCTTTTCTTTCATGATCAATCCATGCAGCGTTTATCGGCTGCTGTTGAGTTTTAAAGTGTTCTAAAATAATAAAGGAAGCCTAAAGGCTGGGGAACATTTTATAGCGCTAAAGATTAATTATGATCTGCTGTTAAAGTGTATGTAAATTATATTACCTTCACTGCATGTGCATGCTCTAGCCTACATCGATATTTTTTCCGAGTGAAACAGTGTTTTAAAATTATTATATAAAGTATTATGCTATTATCTTTATGGATGTAGTATAAGTAACGACCCTCAGTTTCCTCAAACTGCTGTCAGGTTTTCATGGTCCAGAAATTAACTACCTTTTTTGTGGGCGCACTCTTTTAGGTCCGCGCAGAAAAACCTTTATTTTCCTCAAATCCAGAGCTGGACAATCTGGTAAGCTCGGTTCTTGGACTCTTATTGTTCTCTGGTTTAGCAGTGTGTTAGTGTGCTGTGCTCTGTCACCCATATTTTTGTGACCCGTATTATGCGCAGGTTATTGGGGATAGTAGAGGGAATATGAGGGGGGTTTGGGGGCACAGATGTTGGACAGGTTTCTAGTACGACGAGGCCGCGCAGGGGTCTTTGATTGGGGCAGGGTGACTCTACCAAAAGCCCCATCACGATTATCTGAAGTGGACTGTAATTCAGTGTTGCAGTGGGTTGCTAGACTGTTGCCCTCTATAATCAAGCGCGTGCCCGCTTTAAAGTGCACAGAGGCATGAGTTATTGTATAACAGGCAAATTTACATTTGAGATCATTCATTTCAATTCCATTGATTTTTATTATCGCTTTCTGCCATTTATTCAGTTCGTAACGATTGTAAAATAAAAAAAGTGTAATTAAAATATTTAAGATGGTTATTTGACATTTTCTCGTATTTAGGACCAACTAATATTCACTAATATTCAAAAAGAAAAATAAAATAACGTTTTGCTCTTTGCAGATGATACAGGCCATACAAGTATTACGGTTTCACCTTTTGGAGTTAGAGAAGGTAATTTTCTCACTTTCTTCCATTTCTTATATTGCATATCGGTGCTTGTTGCGTTTGATTTTTTGTGTTGGTCAGATGGCGGTGAGTTTGGTCTTTGGTAGAATAAAAAAAATTAAATACCAGATATGAGGAAGACAGGTCTGATAGGGTAAAAAATGTGTCATTATTTTTTATTATATTTTAGTTAATTTATTTTACATTTTGTTATTGTTGAACTGCTGAAAGGCTTATTAGAAAATTTCTTATTTTAAAAAATTTCAGTAATTTTCACAGCTACACTGTCTGTCAGTTTTGGTAAATTTTAGTGTTCTCTCAGAGTCCAGGACGGACAGGACTCCCGCAATGTTTATTTTTTTGCTGTCCAACTTGTTGCTCTGGTCTCACGAGAATAATAAGCGCTGCAACAATTTCACTATTGTTTCCCTTCGCCTTGGCCGATCGTGGCCCTCCAGTCCGGGCCATTCACGCTCACTTTCCCCCCCTTGTCCCTCTCTGCTCTTAGGTGCACGAGCTCTGCGACAATTTCTGCCATCGGTACATCAGTTGTTTGAAAGGAAAAATGCCTATAGATTTAGTCATAGACGAGCGGGACGGCAGCTCGAAATCGGACCACGAGGAACTCTCGGGATCTTCCACCAACTTAGCCGATCATGTAAGTAACACGGCTTTAATTACTCCTTTTTATGATGCCGTTGTCCTGGGACAGCGCGTCCGGGAAACGGGCTGTGCGTGTGGCTTTACTGGCCTGGAGGAAAAGCTGTGTTGTCTGAGACCAACAAGGATCCTTGAAATTGCCTTGAACTAATATGAAGCCAAGTTGTTATTGTCTATGCGGAGGCTGAACTTTGCTTCACCTTTTGCCGTGAATAATAGCACGCTCCCAGCTTCATTGGGATTTTTTTAAAGCCAGGATTGACAAATGTATGTTGACTGTAGGATATACGTTTACATGGGAATACCTAGTTTGCTGAGGCCTGCTTTTGGCGAACATGACTGTGAAGAAGTTGAAATTAGGAGCTGTGCGCGCTCTGTGCGCATGGCTGGACCTGAAACACAAATTCAGAACAAGTGAGAATCAGAGTGCCATCACTATGTCTTGAATACGAGACGGTTGCGTAGAGAAAACATGGTGCTGGTGTGTGAAATAATACAATATTGCAGTGAAGTGGCTCGCGTGTTGAATAAATTAACCTTAATGTAAAAAGTGATGAAAGTAAAAAGAAAAAAAAAAAAGAAAATTGCCTCAGATATTATGGGCTCTGGGATGGTCAGCTTCAGGCATGGCTCGTGGTTCAGGCAGTTCAGCGTTAGATGCTGCTCGTGTTAATGTGTTTAATTGTTGCTTATTGATCGCCTCGCGGTTCCCTCTGCAGCGGTCCGTTTTACGGCCTTCAGGCTCCGCCACGCCGAGGCCATTTACCTGCACCTGAAGTGCGCGGTCCTTACATTTGGAAATCGATGTCGTGGTTTAGACGTGTTTATTTCTTAACAATAAACGCAGCACGGTAAGAAACAGACGCAGCGCGCGAGCCCTGCCGCGGCTTGACGCGTTTTAATATCTGGTATAGGTAACAGTGGCCTACAATTAGCCAAACTGAAGCGAAAACGCTGGGGGCTGGACTGGGCGAAATGCTTAACATGTATCAGCAGCACAAAGCTCAAGCCTATTAGGGATGAAAGCAGATTGGAGTGCTGGGTAAAGTCACTCCACTGCATCTGCTGGGTCTGGCTGGGTCTCTGAGTGTCCCGCTGCTTTCCTGTGGCTGTTGGAGAGCCACACACACACACAAACACACACACACACACAAGGGAAAAAGCAGAATTAACGTGGTCGTGTGGATGTTTAAGGCACCGAGGAAAAAACCCGAGCGCTGCAGCTCGCTTGGAGAATAAGTGCAGAAACTAGGCGTGCTGCTGTTTACGCAGGCCAGATTAGATAAACTAGCCTGTTTAGGTCCGTGGCAGATGGTGGACGATCAAGCCAATTTCGGGCGCTGTCTCGCTCACGTCCAGCCACTGGGCTGCATGTTCCACTTCTGAACCCACGTTTATAAGGCAGGTCAATGGTCTTATGGTTATTCCCACTGACCACCTCATTTTGGAGCGATTTATTTCTTGTCTGCTGCAGCAGTGGCGTTTTACAACTACCACTTTGGCACTTTGCGCTATTAAAACTGAAGTTTTATTTTTTAAAAAGTTTTTAGGGGAGCGCTTTTAGTGACCGTTCACTTCTTGCTACTGTCATGATACTGATTTGCAAAACCAGTATTCGCTATAAGCTGGTCTATAACCAGCTATTCTGTGTGGATTACTGTTTTACTGCGCATAGTGTAATTTTGTGTAGAATTTAGATTTAAGCACACTAAGCATAGAATTGTAGAACAGGACAAAGTTTATGTTATTATTTACAAATTTTAGGGCTGCTTGTGTTTAACTTAAAATAATGACTAATGCCTCCAGGTGTAATTCAGAACATGTTTTATAAATTCTCTGATCTAATGGGGATACTGTTGGTATGGTCCCATGTCAAAAGCCCTGGCCCTTTCCCCTTCATTCCCCAGGCTCTGGCTAAGCAGGCTGTGTGGAAATGTTTGGGCTGCAAGCGAACACTCAAAGCTGCAACTCAGCTGAGCAAACACATAAGACCCATTTGAAGCTAGTCGCTTTGTTTTATTAATTTCAATTTTTTTGAAAAAATTTGCCTGTGTTTCATTATTCATTTCTACCCCTTTTTTAGTTGGAGAGGGGCAGGCAATATGATAGTTAGATATGCTAATTTATTTAGTTAGAATCTCTCACGTCCATTTTTCTTTGCTTTGCTATGCATTTTTAATATATAGCCCAGGGCTACATCTCATTTGGTGAAAGTTGGTTTGCTGGGGATGATGAGGCTCATCGCCGTGAAGGAGACAGGCCGTTGTACCAGTTGTGCTCATTTTGAAGCTTTCTTGCTCCCTTGTCTACCTGATGCAGGACCTAATAAGCACATTTATATTTACACTGCATTGTCAGTATCATCATTAGAGGCAAGGCCTTTGTTAATCTTTGACATTTGGCTTACTGTCCAAGTCTAAACTATCCCTAACAGCTGATTGCAAAAAGAAGGAATTTAGTATATATATATATATATGAAAAGTGATTGCAATGGGGCAGTGCAGTCTCCACTGAAATTAGAGTGGTCTGTTAGTCACTAGACCCTCAGACTTTCAGACTTTTGTGTTTTTATTAATGAAATGAAATTTCACTCTTTTATATGCTACATCCAATTAATACGGTGGGGGAGAAATTAATGCTTATTGAGTATTATCTGTGCTAATGAATTTGTCTTTGTGTCCGCTGCTACAGTTGTATGCGATTTTTTAATCAAGCACCAAGCTCCAGCTTCAACTCCCCCCAAATCATTTCTCGACTGGTGCATAGTTGGAGATTGCTATGCAAAAATATTGTGGCATGTGTGTTTTTGGCACTTTCTCCCTCACTGCTTGTGGCTTGTTCTTGTAGTTCCTATCGAGGTTATGTGTAGGTTATCTAAGCTGTGCATGGGCGACCTGAAAACAACAGTATTTGCATGTCATTCCTTAACACGAGCATTTCCCACATGGGTGCCGGAGTGAAATATGTTCAGAGCAGTGATATTGCTGCTCGTCTCGTGTGGTGAATTACAATCAATTCATAAATCAATTAAAAAGTGCAGTGTCTCTCTTTTACAGAGGCTATTTACATGGTCCTTGCTCCGTGATCGACTACTCCAGGCCTCCGTGTTTGCATACATATAGCCTACAGGGCTTCTAAAGCCAGTGAACCGTGCATTTACTTAGTTCTGGGGGTCTTCTAAATTAAGCAGCACGCGCAGACATACTCCGGTAGGATTCCCCTTTTCAAGCGATGCATTGCACAATAGCATTCACCACCTCTCACAATTGTTTTGTGATGGGATGATGTCTGGCTCTACATATCCTATTTGATTAGTGTTAGAAAGCTCAGGCCTGCTGGCAGGCCTCCCCCATGAGCCCCGCATGCCGGGCTGCGCTCACTTGTTGCTGTGTACTCTAGTATGCTGCAATCTCTTGCTTTTCAAAGATCTCCTCTTTGGCAGTGTGGACAGTATAAACAATTCCATAATGTAAACAACACAGATGCATTTGTAGAGCATAAACAAAATAGATATATTTGTGTAGATACATTTTGCTTATGATAAAATCACATTCATTAGATTGCTCAGAATTTTTTTTTTAAATATTCACATCTAATGTAAACCTGCTAAAGTTAACCAGTGCAGCGTGTGGTGTGTTGTTTGCATGTTTAGTTTCAAATCACTGCTTCTGATTACTGTTATCTACATGCCCTGATCTAACAGTTGCCTTATGCTCCCCAACACCATCATACCTGGGAAAACTGTCAATGATACCAAATGAATACTTCATTTCTATTCTTAGCAGATAATTGACGGTCTTGTAAATACACAGCGGTTGAAGTCAACCTGTTCCTTAACATCTTTCACAGACCCTGTGTAATTATGTGTTAAATTCAACAAAAATGTGCGAGGAGTTTTAAGTGCAGGATGCATTTTGAAACGTCAGGTGCTGGAGATTTATGGCACGATATGTTTCGTGTGTGTCAGCATGCTGGGGTGATGTAGCTGCGAGTCCTTCCAGCAATAATAGCATGCGTCCTCTCACGGCGCACGCCATTCTCAGCCTTCCCTGCCCCTACGCACATTTTTCTGTAAGTACATCGAGTTTCCTGGGAATCGGAGCACAATCCAGTGACAGTGCTAAATCAATTTTATTTGAAATTTTAAGGGATATTGAGAGAAGAGGGGGGAAAAAGCTGGGAGTGAGTTGTGATTTGATGGGAAGGGCAGGTGTGTGTCAGTGAGCAACAGCAGATAGCGACGGATCAGACGTTCTCCTGTGGCCTTCTGCTCTACAAGCCTTTCCCCATATTGTCTCGTGCTTTTATATTAATTACAACTTGCATTATCAGCCCCGAGTCGGTAACCCCGGCCAATAGAAAAGGCTGCCCCCAGAGACGGGCCTTCGTTGTATCTTATTTTCCATCTACTCCTATTGTGCTGCACCTCCGTGTTTGCTGGCTGTTGCTCCTCTCCTCCTGGTAACAGTGCTCTTTAACACAATTAGGGAAAAGCATGGAGTGAACCATGTTTGACTCCTAATTATCCCAGGCTACGGGGAATAGTCACATGGGCAGCTTATTTTTTTATTTATTTATTTAATTTTTGGAAGATGGTGGGGCTTTCTCTGTGAGATTGATAAGGGCCATTTGGGTGATGCGCTCTCTCTCTCTCTCTCTCTCTCTCTCTCTCTCTCTCTCTCTCTCTCTCTCTCTCTCTCTTCTCTCTCTTTCCCTTGCTCGCCCTCTCTTTTTTTTAACAGCTTGTTTGAACTTTAATGGACTCTGGGGAGTCCTGACAACTGTTTTGTTGTGTTGCGAGGCCTGTGTGTGACGAGCAGCGCTCTGACTGTGGCATAGAGAGATAGAGAGAGATAGAAAGAGAGAGAGAACCCACTGCATTATTCATACCCGGGTAAAAAGGCTGTTGCTTTTGTTTCAGATCTGAGTGAGGAAACTTCACACTGTCTGATATGACTGTAGTGATATTGGTTGTGTTGTTGGGGCAGGCATGTAGGAAATCTGTGTCACTTGTTTGTTTGGGCTAAAGACGATAGCACTATGTGTTGTAGGGCTTTGTTTTTCTCGCTTCTTTGATGTCCAAGTCACGCTGCTTGTGCCCTTAGTTTGTTTTGCGACCTAGGCTGCTCGTGTAGGCTCAGATTCTGTAGACTAATGTAAATCTGATTGTGAAACCGTGGTGGATGTTGCCTATTGTAACACTGCACTGTTACGGAGCTGGTTTTATATTAGTGCTGGGTGGTATTGATAAAATTTTGTATATTTTCAGAACATTTCACAGCATCATGACAATAGGTGATCTTTAAATGTACATTAATAAAGGGAATGAAACCATGCTTTTGTAGAGTTAGTAATCGATGCTAAAAGAATGTCTTACAAATTTGACATAGCTTGTTTTATTGGTCTATTTTTCTTCTCTTACACCAAAAGGCACCCTACACCAATTTGTAATTGTTTACTAGACAAACAGTAATTCCACAAAGGAAAAATGATTTATTTATTTTTTTGTATGTGTTTTGCATTGTTTTTTCGAAACAGTCTGAAACGCATAAATAATGTATATTTCAGCTGTTTATTTATAGATACCGCTTAAATGTGAAAATTGAAAATCAATATATCGGTATTGACAATATATCACCCAGTGCTTTTATTATTGTACAGGTACATTGTATTGTAGCACTGCTCTTTCAAATCTGAAATAAGCATAAGTGACAGCTATTTCAGTTTTTATTATTTATGGATGTTGCTAAAACTGAAAATCATATATTGTCTATACAGGTATATTTTATATCACACAGTACTTTTATTATAGATACAGCTAATTGGCATATCTGAGTGTTGGAATTGCAGTTTTTTTTAGTGTAACATACTAGTATTATGCAGTGTTGGTTGGAGCATATTTTTTAGGCCTGTCTTGCCGGCAGTGGGTGTTTCACCTTCAGGAAGTGGAACCCAGTCATTTTCTTTCCTTAAAACAACAACGGCACATTCTAAGTACATGAGTCTGGCTCAGCTGAACTACATTATACACACTGTTTTTTTTTTTTCCTTTTTTCTTTTACCCTTTTTTTTCTCCCTCCTCTCCTTCCCTTTTTTATGACATTTGCTCTGGAGACATAATGGAAGTGTTATGACAGAGTGAATGTCATTCTCACTGCTATGATATTGCTGAGAATGATTAAAAGAGCAACTTCGAATGAAGGCCATATATGCGCACAGATTATGAATCAGAGTTTTGACCAAAACAGCCTCTAAACAACCTGGCTTAGATGAACGTTTCTGCTGTCGAGCCTCGGTCCAACCATGCTGTTCAGTTTTTTGCTCATGTCCATGTGGAGTTATTGTCTCTATTGTATGCTGTTGTGGTAAGTTTTGCAAGCTTTTATCTGAACACCATCCGGTGAACAGCTGACGCTGAGAGGCCGCAGTGGACCGAGAGGCCTGCGTGTGTTTCCTTCAGCCCACAGTCCACAGCTGGGAGTGCAGCCTCGGCCTACAGTCAGGGGCGGTCCGCTAGAGCGGAGCTAGCGCACAGCATGGGCAAGCACTGGTCAGCAAACACCTTAGCCCTCTTTTTCCCTCTGTGTGTCTGCTTCCCGTTCGGGCAGTCAGCTGGACACATGCTTGATTGCACTCAGATTAAGAGTTCAGCTCCGACTGTAATGAGCTTACACCAAATGGCAGCTCTTTTTTTCTCCTCCCGATATTTTACAGGAGTCCTTCTCCTCTGTGGGAATACATTGCGTTTATGAGGCTGCGTGTGTATGCAAGGGAGCGATGGAGGGGAAAAAAAGGGAGCAGAGAAGTGGGCTGAGGTTTGTGGGAAGCCTTGGTGCAGGCCCGGATTTGTTTGGCTTGGGCTCTTTTCAAGGGGGCTGTACTCTGGCCCACAGAGACAAAGCTACAAAGCTAGACTGGCTCTATGGCCATTTTTTTCATGCAGAGCAGGTGACATGTTGACTGCAACATAATGTGTGGGTTTTTTGTGCGTGTGTGGGGTTGAGGTGACGTGGTCAGCAAGTCCCTCTCTGGCTGAGAGTGGCAAAGGAAATTCCACCTCTTGCCTGCCTTCGTTTTTGCACAGATAAAGCCTTTCCTGTACAGTACAAATCCTGTTTCCCTGTGCCGACCACTCAGGCTCTGAGAATGACCAGGAAGGGTGAGGAAGAGAGGCCACTCAGAAAGGACAAATTCACCATTTTACTCACTCCTTTACCTCCCAGACAAGATAGCTTTTGCTTGTGTGACTGTGCATCTGTGTCCAAGTGCAATGTCTTTCCCAGATTAGAGAGAGAGAGAGAGAGAGAGACAGCGCCTCTCATATCTTATTTTCAATTCTGACAGTGCTAATGATTAATGGCACTTGTGGTGCATGTCGACTTTTTAGCCTCATATTTCTCACTTGACGCGGAAGTCTCAATTGGTTACGGTATAAACTAACTTGACATTTTTCCGCCACATGTGTTTAGACAATTCTTTTGAGCTTGCTCCCAATCTGATGGTACATTAAATACAGCAGCGATGGACTCTTATGCTGTAATTAAGCTGTTAGGCGGGCGGTGTTTGGAGTGAGTGCCTGCTTGGCTGTTATGGAAGTTAAGATGGCCGTGGAGCTGTTGATTCGGTGTGCATTTGTGCGAGCTCGGTGCTCAGACAGACAGGCCAGAGATCCACACAGCTCTCCACAGCCTCACACATGTCCCTCTCACATTTCCAGTGCGTTCATGTGTTTTTTGTTTCTCTCTCTCTCTCTCTCTCTGTCTCTCTGTCTCTCTCTCTCTCTCTCGCTCTCCACTGCTTCCTGTGCTCTGCTCCTGGTTTGCGGTTTGGATGGGGAACGTGGATGGATGGATCTCTTCTCTGAAACGCCAGAACCCAGCTTCTTGGAGAGACCACGATGACGCCACCTCCACGCATTCGGCAGGCACACCAGGGCCAAGCAGCGGAGGACACGCCTCCCAGAGCGGAGACAACAGCAGTGAACAAGGTGAGCACAAGCACAGCAGGCACACATGTGCTAATGTATTGTCACTGTCCTTTCAAAGCTTCATAAATCTATCTTCTTTTTTGCCTTTTCTTTTTAATTTCTTACACCATTTGAAAATGCCAGCTGCTCTTTATACTGTGTGCACATTTCATGATGAATGAACCATTGGAAATGCTCCAAAATGACTTGGAATAAACTCTCGTTACCTTAATGTGCATTTTTCTTTTTTGAGATTTTTACCATTTTTTTTCCCCAAGTTAGACCTGTCTGTTTCCACCTACTAGTTAGGTCTTCCCCATCACTTGATGCTACCAGGCTGGGAGGGCGAAAGCAAACACATATTTCCTCCAGGTCACAAGAAGCACCAGTGCATCTTTTCAAACTGCTGCTAATGTAGTGTCATTGAAAAGAGCATTGACTGAGTGATTGAGTGATGGAGGCAGATAGGGGCCATCCTTCCCACACAGAGAGAGCGAGGCCAGTCATGCTCTCTTGGACTCCTAGCCACGGACGGCTGTGACATCACTGGGGATTAAACTCGTGATCTCCTGATGATAGGGTCTACACTGTACATGTACAGTGTACAATAAGTGATACAGACACATACACAATCAAGGACGTAAAGGATGTACACAGTATGCTGGTTAACAAACAAAACACATACGCAAATATGGATGAACACAATGCACTGGTAAACAAACACGTATGCAGGCCTACATTCATACACACGAACATTCAAACAACTGCTTTCCATTAATGCTCTTTCATCTCATTTTCCATTTCAGTAATTTAAAATTTGTATTATTCTCAAGTTTCCATTCACTGATTTAAAAACATGGACAAGATGAACTAATGACCTTAAATGTTTTACATTTCTATTTTATTTAAGCCACCATAATTAAAAGAGGACAACCTAACAAATAAAATGAATATATAATGCTCTATTAAATATAAATATATTGTGTCAATGTTACATGAATAGCAGATGAACGTGTATTTTCATAAACATCCTAAATTTTACCACTTTGAATGTATTTCTTATTTCATTACACACATTAAATTGATAGATACTGTGTTAAAATATTGGTAACACTTTTCTGAAGGGCAGCATTTATAAGGCCAATGACACCAACTTAAGCCTTTCATGACTGATATAAACCTACCTAAACTTTTACAAAGGCTTATTCAAACATGCACCACATGTCATAGCCAGTGTTATGACAATTGACTGTTCCTGGAATAAGCCTTTATATATGTCTGTATAGGATTATGTCAGTTGTCACAAAAGGCTTATTTCAGGTGTTGTGTAGCCTTGTGAATGCTGCATTTCATTACAGTGCTACCAGAATTTTCAGAGGTGCAAAGTACTACAGAAGGCTTATAATTAATTTGATTTTAGAAACATTTAAAACACATTAACTCTGCTAGCTCAGGAGTGATAATTACACCTCAGAAAGGACTATGTTTTCATCAGGCTCTGGACTTACACATAGCACTCACCCAAAACACCAGTAATGAATGTGAAAAATTCAAACAGTTCTCTCTTCTTTTGTTCTTCATCTTTAAATGTGCACCACTCCATTTATGCACTCCTGCTAACATCTGATTTTGAAATAGCACAAAAGCTTTTTCTAGAAATGCTCAAAGACAATAGTGGGTTCCAATTACGCCTGTGCCTCTTTCTCTCATTGTGCTGTGGCTCTTTGCCGTGCTTTGCCAGGCAGAATGCTTGTGAGCTCTCCGTTGGGCAGCGTCCGTGAGCGCCTGCTGTTTGCACAGAGTTTCATCAGGCAGCAGCAGTGCTTAGACGGGGTCGGGCTGCTCACGCCAGCCCAGACTGGTGTCACGTCCCATCTCGGCTAGCATTCCGCCGATAGGCAATCAAAGGTATCGATGAAGCTCTCTGCAGCTCTGAGGCTTTAATCAAGCAGCCCTGCTTGGCCTGGCTGTCTGGAGCGATGGCTATTTAAAAACCCATCCTAGACCACAGTGCCACAATTGCTACAGACCTTTGTGGTTCACTTGTGTCAAGAGCAGTTTCATCACTGGTAAATGTCTTGCCGTGCAGGAAGGGCTTGGTGGTGGTGGCGGTGCAAGCTTGAAGGGTTCAACATGCAGTTCTTAGGGCAAAACAAACATCCCATTCCCATCTGCTATTGCCAGCAGTTGGCATACTGTTGAGAGAATATATGTGACTTTTTTAGTGCCTCACAATAAAAAAAATGTCTGCACACTGATTTTTCAATCTTCCGAATTATTAACTGGGGCAAAGTTTTGACCAATACGGTCTCCAGTAGGCCTAATGAAGAATGATTGAAATGTTGTACCACAGTGCGTCAAGGGAGCTTGAAAAGTCCATGTGTGGAGACTTCCCTTTAACATTTTTCTCACGCCTGCATTGTGTCTTGCACCTGCACCTGACTTTGGTGGAATGTGTGCAGTTGTCCATAATGTTACAGTTCTTCTACATCATAGTGCTGGATTCCCCATGCATGGCACATATTAATGTTTTGCCAGTATTTCCCAGTGCACCTAACTCATTTCATCAACTAATTAGAAACAAGCCCTTTAATTATTAGTTTAAAGTGTGTGAGCTACAGAAGTTCAGGAGTGTCACAGTCACTCTTGCCACTGGGGTAGTACCCTCATGGGTATACCTCAGAACCTTAGTCAGGGAACATAATTGTACCACAATCCATTGAAATTATATTTTCTAAGTTGCATTGACTCCACACACCCTGTCCCGTCTCCAGGCTTTTTATTTTATTGGTCTGTTTTAAACATTAGGTCATGAAAAGGTACAAATACATACTTTTCCACTGGAGAAAAACTTATATAAGGTGCACAATTGGACCTTAAAACCACTGTTGTACCTTTGAGGGTACATTTACATTGTTTGTACCTTGATGAATGAAAAATGCACCTGCACCGTACCTTTGTTGCTAACAGTGTACAGTGCTGATATGCTAATGTAACTGTAATAGCTACAAGAATGAAAACAGCATACCAGTGCCATCTTACAGCATGTGTTGTGCTCCTTATACATTTTTTCAAGGGTGGGCTGAGGGAGATTGGACATGAGAGAGAAAGAAAAGACAGCAAAGAGGGAGGAAGAGATGCACTGCCTATTGATTATCTTACACACATAAGTACAAGTGACCTGTAATCCACAGAGCACTTATCGACTCCTCTCTGCACCGGATCCAGTAACAGCTGATCAATAAGGGCCAAGATAGTTACGGTATGGTGTAAAGTGCTTGGGCCTGACCCGGGCCAACCGGGCCCAAATAGCATTAAACACTGGTGTTCCAGCAAGAAAACATGCCTTATATTCCTATGAATGAGAGAAAGAGAGAGACAGAGAGAGAGGGAGAAAGAGAGCAGCCAATTTACTGCTCTAATGAGGCTGTCCCTGCAGCCAGTTGTTTTGTGTGAGGCTCGCTGTGACCTTTCGCTCTGCTCAGAAGCCCTGCCGCCTCATTTTTCACATTCTTGCAATTACGTTAACGCTTGAAGCGCTCGCTGACTCCCAGCTCCTGCCCGGGCCTGGCTGGACGCAGCTTCACAGCTAAACAGCTCCACGCACACAGGGAGAGTCTGCACCCCGCGCTGCTCTCCGATTCATCAGGGAAGAATTTTCACTCTCCACTCAAAACAAGGCCAATTATGGATTTGTAGAGAGAAAAGCAGAGAGATGTTGAGAAATATTCAGGAAAAAAACGAAACACATTTAGCAGAGAAGTCATGTAAAACTGGAAAACTAGAAAAGGTGTGGGGTCTATGGGAAAGGAGAGAAAAATAGCTGTCATACACCTTCATCTGGACTATTTGTAGCATATAGGAAGTGCATACTATCATTGTTTCTTCTTCCTAATGAAGTTAGGTATTGAATTGTACGGATATACATGTCATTTGCAGGGTCTGTACACATACAAGTCAGGGACAGATTTGGAAAGTGTTTTGAGGCTATTTCCAATGGCACAAGCTCTCTCTGCAGTCATTCGAGCTAATACATGTGATATTATACTGTTGCAGCAATGCTTCATCTTTGTCCTACTTTATTTCTAGATGAATTTCTTTTTAAAAAATGAAAATATGAATTCTGGCCCCCAGGGCAAATGAGCAAATCCACTAGCTTTCTCACTTCCACTACCTGTTCTCGCGTTTAGGAGAATGCATTCCAGTCGAAGCTGCTACAGGAAAATCACAGACAGCCACCATGCTTAGTTGTATTAGATGTAACATATGCTTAGCAGTTGGACGAGTTGGCCTTAATCTTTAAGATTTATGAATGTTTTGAATTTAACCATAGGCTTGAGAAGTAAGAAAAGAAGTACGGAATAAGCGAACAGTGATTTTGGGAGCTTCAACATAAGATTTATATGAACATTTTCAATTTGCTTAATTTTGAGCATCAATAAACTACATCAACATGTAGCTAGTAGATGTAGCTAGTGGAGCAGCTACCACTGTAGTAATTAGGTATGCATGAAAACTTTGAAGGTTTGAGGGTAAACCCGTGGAAAAGTGTTTTGCACATTTCCTGGACAATTGAACACCCCTGATATACTGATCTCTGAATGAGACTGGGACTGACTATGCATATACAAGTGTACATTGACAGTTGACTACATTGACTAGGGCCCCTCTGGGCAGGGTCGTTGTGGTGGACCTCACCATAGGGGGTCATTCCTGACGGGGACTACAAACCCAGCAGCTTCCGTGTGAACAAGGCCTGTTGATTCAAACTGTTTCTGCACGTACAGTCCAAAGTTGGTGTTACACAAAGTCGAAGAAAAAAATGAAGGGAATTAAATGAAAAAAGGATTCCAGCTTCAGCAAACGCAAGATGGAGGCCTTGTTGCATGTTTGTTGTTGCCCCTGGTTTACAATGAAATCTGTTAGGCGTGTGTGTGTTTGAGTATGTGTATGTGTTCCTGCGTATGTGTGTGTGGGTGTGGGGTGGGTGGGGGCTGCTGGCTGTCTCTCTGTGCCTGTTA